AAGAGACAGGGTAAGGGAAGAGCCGGGGGTGGATGTAGGGGGTGGGGGTCGGGTAGCCCCGCGGCGGATGTCCGGGGGAGAAACCCCTACCCCGGCTTGGGCCCCAGGGATCCCCGTGTGACAACACTGCTAACAACAAGTACCTAAAAAATAGCAAGGAAAGTAAACCAGGAACTAAGGCCCAAGCAATGCGTGTAGCAATTAAGTTGGACAGAACTTAAGGTTTTAGCAAAGTCCACGGCAAGGAACCCAACCTACAGTTCTAGCAAGATCAGGATCCGACAGCCAAAGAGCTGAGAGGAACAAGATGGTTCGGACACAAGGAGTACCGAAGTGTTAGAGTAATCAGGCTAGCAACCAAAGGCAAAAGCCAAGTAGAACAGGCTAACCTAGGCAGGGGTGAAGGGCGGTACATCCTTCCTTTGGAAAGTAATCAACGCCGTCCTTCGGGCATTCTGACTTGGGGGAGGAGCGTGAGTGAGTGTTTATTGTAATCCCTTCTGACTTGCTGCTCCCCAGAATGGAAAGGAGCCAGAACCCTAAGGTTCCTTCAAAAAAAAAAAAAAAACAGACCACCCAACAAAAACTATGTGGAGTGTTCTGCTTCCAGGAGTGGCCTGTTCCAGGTGTAGTTTCAGTTCCAGGCGTGATGGGTGTTCCAGGTGGAGTGTGTTTTCGGGTGTCTGCTCCAGGTGTGGTGTGCATTGTGTTGAACTTACCTGTGGAATGCTCTTTTTCCAGGTGTGATGTCTGTTCCAGGTGTACTGACTGTTCCAGGTGTAGTGTGCATTGAGTTGAACTTGCCTCTGGAAAGTTCTGCTTCCGAGTGCAGAGTCTGTTGCACGTGTAGAGTCTGCTCCCGGTGTGGTGTGCACTGAGTTGAACTTGCCTGCGGGATTTCTGCTTCTAGGTGTGGTGTCTGTTCAAGATGTGATGTCTGCTCTATGTGTGGTGTGCACAGAGATGAACTTTCCCCTGAAATGTTCTATCTTCAGGTGTTGTGTCTGTTCCACGTGCACCGCCTGTTACAGGTGTGCTGTGCAAAGAGTCAAACTTGTCCATGCTATTTTCTGCTTCCAGCTGTGGTGTCTCCCTTTTGTGATCTCTGTTCCTGGTAGGATGTCCGTTCAAGGTGTGGTGTGCACAGAGTTGAACTTGCCTGTGGAATGTTCTGTTTCCAGGTGTGGTGTCCTGTGATGCCCATCGTCAGATCGCTCATCCCGTGGTAGGCGTTTCGCAAGGCGACAATATCGTAATTGCCTGTATATAGTCTTGCCATCATAATTGCCATATCATTGGCCTCGGATCCAGAGTTCACGAAGTACACCACCTGCGTGACAAAAATGTCCCGGAATCACAGACAAGTACCAACATTAAATTCAAAAGAAAGAAAAAACTTTTAAACTTTTAAAAAGTTCCAACCTTTAAACCGTGCAATTATGCAGAAAAGGCAACAGGAAAAAGAAAAATAGCATGGTAACTGACCGGACGTCCGGACCGGGTTCCAGACAGTCTGGGACAAGATGCAGGGGTCCGCTGTCCGGTCCTGGATGTCCGGAAACCAGCCCCCAGCCAAAAATTCGAAAAAAAAAGGGGGCTGCCCAGGACATTTTTCGGGTACTGGGCGCCCCCTGAAAAATACCGAGCCGAATTTTAAGTTTCATTTCGGCCTACCGGACAGGGGTCGAAGGCCTGGAAACAGGTGATTGAGGTGGGTTGGCGGGTAGTTGGGCGAGCATTTTCGAAGCGGCAGTTTTTGAATGTCCCGCCCGCCGCTGCTGCCAGTTTCAGGAGTGGCCCGCTGTCGGAGGGCGCGGTGTCCGACCCTCCGTGGTGTACTAGGCACCCTGCTCACGAACCTCCGCGGTGCACCAGACGCCTACTCACTACCAGCGGTTGTACCAGGCACTCTGTTCAGAGTACCAAGTACTTTCTGTTCACGAATTTCAGGAATGTACCAGACACACCTTACACGCGGATGATTCTTGGACCGGTACGGCTGGTGCTCCCCAAGCGAAAGGGTCGGGGTGCGCCACTGGGCTTTCCTTTGGTCCACGCGGACTCGGCGCCCTGCTGGACAGCAGACCATAACCAGCCCGTGCTCATGGTAACCGCCGGGCTCGCCCAGGGATGCGAAAGTGGAAAGGCCGGCCCCGTATTTTCAACTGCGCGCCAAGTCATCTATAGTCGGGTTATGGGACAAGTCTGACAACAGTGGCAAGGGCAAAAAGTCGAAGTCTTGGATTCCCGAATGCCGAAACAGCAAGTAACACGGAGTACGAGTACAGCAGCTGGAAACTGGTACGAGCCTGGTCCCCGTACCGTACGGGGATCTGGTATAAGTACCGGTGACCCGTACTGTACCAGGGGCATTTCTGCAAAGGCCCCGAGGGCAGAACTGAAAAATAAGGTATTTGAAAGTGGCCCCCGAATTGCAGCATGATGCCAGTTGTCCAAAATCCTACGGTACCAGAGGAGGGGTTTGGAAAAAGGGTGCCAAGCCGAAAACGGGATGCAGCCGAAACAGCAAAAAGATAGACCAGGGACCGAGCCCTGGCGGAGTCCGTAACACTATCCCCTCCCTCTTGAAGGCAATGTCCCGGCTGCCAAAAATCATGAAGCAATGCTGAAAGCTGTGAAGGACGGGATGGGGCCGATCACTGGTTAACAAGTCGAAAGGGAAGAGGGGTATAATGTGGGTGGCATGGGCTGCAGGAGTAAGAGGGAACAGGGTTTGGTACCGCTGAACAGAGTTGTCCTACTGATGAACTAGGGGGGGTTGCAGGGAACAGGGTAGTCCTACAAGTGAACTAAAGGGACGACAGGGAGCAGGGTAGTCCTACTGATGAACTAAGGGGACTGCATGAACTAAAGCGACGACAGGGAGCAGGGTAGTCCTAGGTTAAAGGGGAACAGAGTTCAGGGAACAGGGAACTTCTATTGATGTTCTACTGTGTAAGGGAAACGGTGTTCAGGGAAACAGGGTATTTCTATTGATGTTGTAGTGGGTAAGGGAAACAAGGCTAGGTGCAGGGCAAGGGCAGATCAGACATCAGGAATGAAGGTCAAGGGGAGGGTGGACTGGGTTCAAGGGTGTGTGTAGAGCAGGGTTGCGAGGTTGTAGCAGGGTTTATGCCATAGTTATATAGGTATCTAGGACATAGGATTAGCACGATCATAGGCGCGGACAAGTTTCATGGCGTTCTTAAGATTAGAGAGAGGTTCCCATGTAGATTCTTCGTCGGGGTATCCGGTCCATTTGACTTTGTATTCAGTGATTGGTTCCGTTTGATCAGATACCTGAGTGGTTCGTCGGCCGACGATGGTTTCGACAACAAATTCAGGGTCTGTGGGTAGCATGATTGGTGGAGGTCTAGGATATGGGCGGTCGGCGAACTGGGGCGGGGATTCATGGTATTCTTTTAGGTACTCGACATGGAAGACTGGGTGGACACGACTCATGTCAGGGGGAAGTTGGAGTTTGTAGTTGACGGGGGAGGTTTGTTCAATGATGGGGAAGGGACCGAGCCATTTGTTGGAGAGTTTCTTGGACAAACCATGTTCGGGTTCAAAGCGTTTGGCGGAGAGCCAGACTTTGTCCCCTACTTTGAATGACACATCGCGTCTATGTTTGTTAGTCTTGTTGGCTTGTTGTTCTTGGGTTCGTTCATCTGTTGGAGAGTTTCTTGGGTTAGTCTTGTTAGAATGGGGACATGCCGGTGGAAGGGCAGACGGCGTTGTTGTAGGCAATCTCGGTGGCTGTGAGCAGCTGATCCCAATCGTGTTGGTGTGGATGACAATACTTCCGCAGGATTCTTTGGAGTGTATCGTTTATCTTCTCTGTTTGTCCATCGGTCTGTGGGTGGAATGCAGTGCTCTACTTGAGTGTGGTTCCGTAGGCCGTGAAGAGGTGTTTCCAAAATTGTGAGAGGAAGCGAGGATCACGGTCAYTGATGATGTTCTCGGGGAGGACGTGATGGCGAGCAACATGGTCGAAGAAGAGTGTGGCGACGTCTTTGGCACTGTGCGAGGTCGTGCAAGGGAAGAAGTGGGCATGTTTGGTCAAGCGGCAGACAATGACGTAGATGCAATCATGCCCGCGGTCGGTCTTCGGGAGGCCGCACACGAAGTCCATGGAGATGGACTGCCACCGGTGAGTTGGGATGGGCAATGATTGGAGCTTGCCGGGTTTGGCCCGGTTCGAGGGGTTGACAACTTGACACGTGGGGCATAAGCAGATGTATGCTTTGACGTCGGCGAGCAGGGAAGGCCAGTAGAGGTAGCGGGAGATGGTGTCGAAGGTTTTCTGGAAACCGAGGTGTCCTGCGCTCTTGGCGTCGTGGTGCTCGGCCAAGAGTTGAGTGCGGAGACCACGTGTGTCGGGGATGCAAAGTCGGCGAGTGCCTTTGGTATCAATGTAGAGAAGGTTGTCGTGGAGGGAGTAGTCGGAGACTGGGTCAAGATCGCGAAGCTTGTTGTAGATGGTGGCAAAGTCAAGGCAAGAGAGGTAGCCTTCGGTGTATCGGTGATGGAGTGATAGGAGGAGTTGGATATGAGTCATGGCGGCGTAGACTTTCTCGGGGTGCTTGAGGTCGGGTCGTCGAGAGAGGGCATCCGCAACACGGTTGCTTTTGCCGAGGGTATGGCAAATGGTGAATGTGCACTGGGCAAGGAAGTCTAGTCGGCGGGCTTGGCATGGAGTGATATCATTCTCGGAGAGGACGAAGGAGACGATGGTGTTGTCAGTGCGGATGGTGAAGTATTGCCCGTCGAGGTACGGGCGCCAGACTGTGAGGGCGTGAATCACGGCGAGGAGTTCCTTCTCGTTAGAGGGGTAATTCATCTCCGCGGGAAGGAACTTCCTGCTTGCGAAAGCGATGGGGTATTCGCCAGGTGGAGCCTCGGGGTGAGTGGGCGAGTCCTTGATGGAGGGGGTCTCGACGGTGTCGTGGGGGAAATGTTGGGACAGTACGGCTCCRATGGCGAAGTCGGAGGCGTCGGTGATGACATAGAAATGGCGAGTGGGGTCGGTGATCTTGAGGACAGGGGCCGTGGTGATGGTTTGCTTGAGTAAGTCGAAAGCGTGTTGGCGGCGATCGTTCCAATGGAAAGGCTCGTCCTTGCGGGTGAGTTTGTGGAGAGGGTAAGAGATCTCGGAAAAGTTGCAAATGAACGGGCGGTAATAGATGGCAAGGTCGAGGAAGGAACGGAGTTGGAGGAGGGTCTTGGGTGGGGGGTACTCAACGAGGGTTGTGACCTTCGAGTGGTCTATACGGATGCCTTCAGCGGAGATAATGTGGTCGAGGTATTCGACGCTCGAAGCGGCAAACGTACATTTGCTGAGCTTGGCGTATAATTTTTGCTCTCGGAGGTGTTGAAGGTGGGACTCCAAGGTGGGGTTGAAGACAAGGATGTCATCAAGATAGACAACGACACAGACTTCGAGGAGGTTGTGGAAGATGTGGTTCATGGTCGATTGGAAGGTAGCGGGGGCATCGGTGAGTCCGAATGGCATCTCGAGGAACTCGTAGTGCCCGAACCTAAGGCGGAAGGCGGTCTTGTGGGTGTCCTCCTCGCGGATACGGATCTGGTGGAAGCCACTGCGAAGGTCAATCTTGGTAAAATACTTGGCTTCACGGAGACGATCAAGGAGCTCGAAAATCCGAGGTAGGGGGTACTTGTTCTTGATCGTGATCCGGTTCAAGGCGCGGTAGTCTGTGCACATACGGAGTTCCGAAGTTTCACCTTTCTTGACAAAAAGGCAGCTGGTTCCGAAGGGGGATGAACTTGGCTTAATGAACCCTTTTTCAAGAAGTTCACCGAGTTGCCGCTTCATTTCTTCAGCTTCGGGGACAGAGAGTTGGTATGGAGGGTAGAAAGGTGGAGAATGTCCGGGTTCCAAATCGATGGTATGGGATATGCCACGATCCGGAGGTAGCCTAGCGGGTAAGGACTCAGGAAAGACGTCCTTGAACTCATCGAGGATTGAGGTGATGGCGGGGTTGGGGGGGGGGCTTGATCGGGTTTGTCCGTCGAGAGTAAGTCCTCAGGACGTTCGCGATCAAGGACAAGACAATAGTAGTCGGAGTCGGGGTTTAGGCGAGCCATGTGGAGGAATTGGTGCGGGGTGACAGAGCCTTGGGAGGTCGGATATGGGAGATAGGGGATGTCGATGGTTGTGTCGGGGGGGTTAGTGAGGCGAAGGAAGTTGGGGTGGAATGCGTATGACATGTAGCGGTCCAGCCACGGGGTTCCTAAGACGATGTCGCACATTAAGTGCATGAAATCAAACGAGACCTGGCTGCGGAGGGTTCCGACGGTCATGGTGGTCTCGGGGACCGTGCGGTCTATTACGACGGCGGTGTCTTTGTCCCCTAGGCGAATCGTGATCGGGGACTCATAACCGGTAGAGGTAAGACCGACTTTCTGAACACACGCGTCGGTGATGAAGTTACCGGTGGCTCCAATGTCGAGGAGGGCCCGAAGCTTAGTTGTAGATGCACCAAGGGTGGCGGCGATGAATTGGCGGTGGAGATGATGGTGTTGAGGCGGCATTGTTCGTTGCCTAAGCGGACAAGCCGATCTTGTAGAGCTTGTTCCTCGAAGAAGGTGACGGTGGATGGGTTTGGAAGAAGGGTAGAAGAGCATGAGGCAGTGGGAGGCGTTTGCAACGCCTGGGAGCCGTCCGGTGGAGGGAGCGTCACCGGAGAGGCGGGAGGCAGACGAATTGTCGATGCCAGATGAGCCATCGGTGGGACGGAGGATGTCGTTGATGTGTGGGCCGACAGACGCGATATCGATGCCGGGACAATGTCCTGGGGACTGTGTTCATGATGAGGAGGGACCCGCGCTTGCCGAGGGCGGTCATGTGGAGGTTGCGGGTCGAGTGAAGCGGACTGGCGGGTGAATTGTGCGGCGTTGGGGCAGTTGGTTTGTTGGTGCCCCAATTGGCGACAACGGAAGTAGCCCCCATTTGCTTGGAGGTAGGTGCGCTCCTCGGGGGTGAGTTTCTTGAGGCGGGAGGGTGGGGTAGATGAGGGTGGACGGGAGTTGCGATCTCTGCGCTCCATTCTCATGAATCAGAGGACATTGAGTTCCTCGGGAGTGAGGGATGAAGAGTCGAGTGAATCGGAAGATGCGTCGGGGTCAGGTATGGTGAACTCGTCCGAGGAAGGGATGGAGGTGGTGTCTTCAGGGGTGATGTGATGGAAAAAGCGGGTGCGGGAGGGGGCGGGCGAGGGCTGGTGATGGGGGTGGAGGAGTCGATCGTGGTGAAGCATGCGAGAGCGGAGGTCAGCAGGGGGCATGTCGGGTTCGTGGGCGAGGGCGGTTGCAAGGTTTTTGTGGCATACTCGTTTGATGCGGGAGATGAACGCAAAGTCGGGAATGACGGTGGTGGGGAGGTGGTGGTGGAGGGAGCGGACATATTGGACGAAGCGGTCCGTGGGACCGGTCTGGCGGAGGTGGCAGAATTGTTCAAGGTAGTCATCAATGGTTTTCTGGGGGCGAAAAGTGGCAGTGAGAAGGTTGGCCCATTGGAGGAAGGTGTGACGTGGTCCTCCGGAGGCTCGGCGGTTGCTGACTTCAGCCATCCACCATTTGGCGGCATTGCCGAGGAGGCGGGAGGTGGCAATGGGGAGCCAGTGGGCAAGGGGCATGTGGTGGAGCTGAAAAGAGTTCTGGAGCTGGGTTAGGAAGAGGAAAACGTCCTCGTGGGGGAGGCCGGAGAAGGACATGATGTCGCCGGATCGGAAGGAACAGGGGATTTCCCCGTCACGGGAAACGATCTGGGCGTGGGTGTTGAAGCTGAGGTTATCGGGGGTGGTGTCGTAGCAGGTGTAGTCGAGTTGGTTGTTGTCCTCAAGGAGGTAGTTGGGGGGGAGTTGTGGCATTGCGGGGTAAACCCCGGAGGTGACTTGGGAATAGGTGGGACGGATGGTGGGGATGGTGGAGGTCGTCATGATGGGTTGGGGAAGGGTATGAGAGTGTGGGGGGGGTAGAGGGGTGATGTGGATGGGCAAGGAATGAGGCGGTGTGTTGGATGCGCCGGATGAGGGGGGGGAAGGATGGAGGAGGCAGAGGTGGTGGATGTGGTGGTAGAGGTAGTAGGAGTGGAGGAGGTCGGCAGGGGGGTGTGGTTGGAGGCGGTTGTGGAGGTGGGGGTGGTGGTGGTGACTACCTGGATGGAGAGCAGGTTAACCGAGCACCCATTTTTCAGGCCCATTTATAAGAAAACCAGACAGTCATTTTAACAACACTTCACACCAATCTATAGAGTGCACTTCTTACGACCCCATCACAGAAAACCCCCCTAAAAAAAGCAATTAAAAACATATAAAACAGCAAGCCAAAGGTGCATTTCCATGAACTCGACCAATTCCAAAAAAACATGAAATTTGACCCTAAAGCAAACGTTGTTCAGTTTCCTTTTCTGCATAACATAGTTTTTTTTCGGATTTTTTGGAATTGTTTTTTTTTTTTTTTTGCTGGGAACTTCCTTGGTCCTTGCACGGGCTGGCCACCCAGGACCCGGGCGGCCCGACTGGTAGCCTAGGAAAAAAATAATTAATTTCAAATAAATAAATTCTGGTTAAATTTATTCGAAATGAATTTTGGGGTATGAAAAGCATGAAGTTTCAAAAGGAATTGAATATTCCCGAAATTCGAGAATTTCGAAAGGAAGTTTATTAAAATACACGAGAAAAAGAACTAAGTAAAATTATTTTCGAATTTTCGAAAGGAAAAAACTAAAAGAAATATCAAAAAGAATTTACTTAATTTTAATGTATTTTCAAAATTTGGGAAAAAGAGTGAATGAAAAGTAGTTTCGAATTTCGAAGGAATATCGAAAAAGAATTAATTAATTCTACGTATTTTGAATTACGAAAAAAAAAGAAATTTCAAAAAATAATTTAATTCATTTTAAAATATTTTTGAAATACAAAAATTTCAAAAAAAAATTGTTTAAAATTGTTTTCGAATTCCGAAGAAGAAATGCCGAAAATTTTGAAAAAGAAATATTTTTGAAAAAGAAATGTCGAGAAAGGTAGTTGATTAAGTATTTTCGGATTTACATGAATTTCAAATGATTTATAAGAACAATTAAAAAAAATAAAATAAATAAAGGAATAAATTAGTTTTGATGTAAATCGAGGGCGGAGCGATCCTATCTACGATTGATTGGGTGGTAGCGTGGTAGGTAGGGGGTTGCACGGGTAGATTGACGATGATGATGATGATGATGATGATAGTGATGGTGATGGGGGCGGAACGTGGGGAGGAAAGTCGCGCAGGGGGGGAAAGTTGTGTAGCGCGTGGCAGGGGATCATGCGGAACTTGCGCGGGGTGCACGTGGCAAGGAGAGAGT